TCCAGGGTGGTCACATTTCGTTCCGTCTTAACCATCTAGGTCAGCACAACATCCTCTGAACACACAGCTCTTACCAACATCCTGGAAGATGTGTGTTTTCTTCAGTGTCCAAATGACATGAAGTCTGCTGACTCCATGCCAACCTTGGAGACTGATCTGAAGTCTGGACCTGCAAAAGTATCAAATAATTATTTTCGGGTGTGCATGCAAACTTGCAAAATCAGAATGCAAGGTTTGCCTTCAAGTCCACCCTGCGTTTACAGGGTGCCTCTGCCCTGCCTCTGAGAAAGGCAAAAAAAACCCTCTAGATGATAGTGCACCAAACACCAAGGAAGACCACAGAGCAAAAGTTTTAGCTAAAATATGCGGTCCTCTTTGTTCTATCTTAATTGTCCCCAAAACAAACATTTCAAGCCAATAACTTTGCAAACTGTAGATATTCATCTGTTTCTAGCAGAACACATCTTATGAACATTTTTTTAAAAGAATTTTAAATCAACACAAGAAATGTAATTTCCTTACAATATCATCTTGCAGAAAGAAACCATCACCAAATACGACTGGATGATCAGTATAGAATGGTTCATAAGTACAGCCAATTCATTAAGTCTAATTTTAAAGAAGTAGGCAAATAATACCCTAGGCTTAGTATTTTTTAATGATTAAAATGTAAGCAGACAACAGCCTATGAGACTGGAAGACTGATGAGGTGCTTTTAGACGGTACAATTAATGACTATGACTAGCCTTGGAAATGTTACTGAGTGCCTGAATTCTTAGAAATATCACTGTGTCAAAGGGAAAAGGGCAGACTGTATGGATCCTCTGAGTGGACTGAGAAACTTGAGGGTAAGTGTTCAGACAGAACATTCGTATGTGACAAACTTGATGAATCAAAGCAAATCAAGGCTTTCAGGTGAGGTCAGAGGAGGAGCAGCCAATCATTCCCGTATCGCTCAGTCAGAGAGAAAAATGGCCATATACCAGCTATTTTTAGCACATGTAAATTCTCCATGAACCAAGTCAGCTGAGTCTGGAGGCATTTCATCAGGCTACCCTGTGCCCAACTCACTCATTCTTCTGTGTGAACCACATCGAGCAAGGGTCTAAAAGATACATCTGCACCTGGGAAGCATACGGAAATAACAAAAAGAACAATAAAAAGGCACGGATTTTTGTCTGCTTGTAGTCGTAACTACCCCTCTACCCTCCGTCACAGCACAAACCGCCGG